TAAATTTGAGGTGGTTGTATGTGGTAGCTCAATAGTCCAAGTGGGAGTAAATTCTGGATTTTCACGTTCGTTTGGTAAAGGCGGAGGTACATTTAAAGCACATGTCGAGGAAGTAAAATAACGCTGATCTATAACTTCTAAATCAGAAAATGACTGATCAGGGCTCGCCATAGTTGACGATTCGCCTTGGGAAAGAAGTTGCTCTTTGGCACTCTTTACAGTGAACATTATTATAAAGGGAGTTAAAAATTAACGTTACTAAAATGACATCTATCGATTAGCATTATGTGATTTACTAGTTACACCAATCTGGTGATCTAGTGATATGCATCGAATTTTTGTATTACCGGAAAATTTTTTGATAACGGTAATTATTTTACTCGTAGACTAAAATGCCAAAAGAACAAAAATCGAAACGTTTAAAAAAGGAAGCAGTGGCGTTACCACAACCTCCGGATAATGTAATGTGCAAGACGATGTTTCTCAATAATGTTAATTAAGTTAATATCTATCTGAATGTATTAATTTTATCTTTTTCTACTTTCGGTCAGCCGCGTCAATGTCATTTTTGGGTAAAGCGTAAAAGGCAGGTTAATAAAGTTAATGAACAGTCTATGTATAGCATGCCTATGATTCTGATATTAATATTGGTGATATTTATAAAGACGATACTGCCATCTTCCCACAAAAATCGGCAACAATTACTGTGGAGAGCATTTAGCAAGTGATCCGAATCCAACTACAAGAGAGCGTATTCCATGTCCATATGATATATCTCAGTTAGTGTCCTAAAATAATAATATACGGTATTTTTTTTTTTAATCTTATCTTTAATTGCTTAATTATTAGCACGGTGTATAAAGACGAACTCGAAAAACATCTTGCACAAAAATGCAATTCACGTCCACGACCAAATCCACCTTATTTTTCTCTTGATGTTAATTGCACATTATCCTCTCCATCTAAGTCTACAAAGGAAGAAACAACCTCACTTTCAGAGTTATCTAAAGAAATTTTAGATTCATTGATTAATAATGTAAATTATTGGTTTCAAACTTTTGTTCCTACAAATTTTAAGAGTTTGGTATTGGATCATGAAGTTTTAAAGGAAAAAAAGTAATGAATTTCTTATACATGAACAATGTATTTATATATATACATATATATATATTGCGATACTAAACAATACTTTACGAACGTATTATCTAAAGAGAAATCATAAAAAATAGTAAGCATGTTATTCAACAGGTAAATTATTAATGTAAGAAATGTGCATATATTTTATTTCTTTCAATACTGATTATATTTTGTTTTAAAAAGGCATCACTTTTAGGACATATGGAAAGACTAAAATTATTACAACCAGATGGTTGTTTCATTGAATTCGGTTGTGGTAAAGGTGAGCATATAAACAATCACCTCATTGAAGATTCTTATTAAATAACTTTTTAGTCTACTTTACTATATACTATATTTAATCCGTTTTATCAAGGTGAATTATCATATTTCACAAAACTTGCGATCAAAGATGAAGACGATAGAATTCGTTTCCTTCTAATTGATAGAAAAAATACACGTGGTAAGGTATGATACGATATATCTTACCAAAGATTCGTTTAAAAGGTAACGTTTTAGATACTAAAGCAATTTTTGGGAACGCTTTTAGTTTGATGCAGGGATTAGAGAAGGTAGATCGTCGACAGACAATAAATCGCTTGTGCTACGTATTGGAATTGATATTAAAGATTTAGATTTATCAAAACTTGATTTTGTCAAGGATAAAAAAATTATAGCATATTCCAAGCATCTATGTGGATCTGCTACAGATGTTACTTTAAAATCACTAGTAAATTATTCCAAGTTGAATAAAGAGTAAGATAATAAGTGACAATTTCTTAATAATTAATACTTTAGTTGTAACTAAGTTTCTTCATTAAATTTTATAGGAACCCTGTTATTGGAATAATTATCGCACTGTGTTGTCATCAATTGTGTCAGTACCATATGTATCCAAACCATCAATATCTTGAAAATATTGGAATTACAAAAGATGATTTCAAGAGAATATGTACTATGAGTAGTTGGGCTATTTGTGGGCAAAGACCTAAATATCATGACAAAAATAGCGATGATGACGATGATCATGTTTATGATGATTCAGCAGAAACAGACGATGATGATAAGTAAGCAAATAATAATATCATCGTAATTGTAATGTTTAAATATTAAATGGTTCCTAATTTCTCTCAAATTATAGAATACATTATTCAGGTCTAGATCATACATCAAGAGAAACTTTAGGTTATAAATGTAAACGTATACTAGATTACGGTCGTCTCAAATAT